ACATTTTTTATTATATTTTTATGAGGTTCCATTAGTGCCAAACATATGTTTATGTGTATGTAGCGTGCTGTGTATATGTAAGTTGATGTGTTAAGTGAATCCATCTATTATACAATCTATTACTTGTTTAAAGCTAAATATGTTATAACAAGTATTAATTATATATATGTGTGTGTGTGTGCTAAAAACAGATCTATTTTAGATCTCACTGTGTGTTGAAAAAATAAATGTTGGCTTATTTCTGCAGAAGTGCAGCTGGTAAAGGTTTTTGTAACCATGTAGTTGCACTTTTTTTTTACCAGACTGCCCACTACTCCCAACTACAGCTGCCAAATGGTCCTCCTGTACTGGCCCGCACAAGAGATTTACAAAGATGGCACAGACAAAGAACACAGGTAAAAAAATAAAATAAGAGTGGAACACATTCTTTTCTGTTACATTATTTAGTATATGATGGTTATGATTCTCATCACAATAACTGTAATAACTTTCCCACCTGTATATTATTAGTGCCATGTGAAATTTGTCATAATCTCAATATTACTTGTGTCAAATATATTTTTCTCTCCTAACTTGTTTAGAATTGTTTGTTTTTGTAGGTAATGAATAAATGCAGGTTCAACCTCTATGGATTAGTAATATTTGCAAGTTAAGTAAAAATCTTAACTCTCAAGTCTGTCCCACTGTGTCCTAGAAAATTGCTCACTTGTCTCTTTACATTTATTTATTTTTTAGTTTGACATATTTTTATGTTTATTTCTTGTAAGGGAATCCATCCTGAACCTGCCAGCGAGGTGGTGGTGGTGCGAAAGCTCAAAACTGTGGTGAAAAGATGTTTGCACTCCACGCTTTACAGAGCTTACACAGGTATAACCTTTGGGTTAATGTTTTTATGTCCATGTTTCCTTTGTCAAAACTTATTGTGATTCTGTCACTCGTGTGTTTGTAGGACCACTTCCAGATCCTGACATCCTGGCATCGGGAGAAAAACCACCTGCTGGAGTCCCAACCACTTATCACACTTATCCTAGAGATGGTCTCTCAGCTTTGGAGCTGGTACCATCCAGACTTGGTCCTGTGCCACAGGGCTCACTGAGGTCTCACCAGTGTCCACCTGAGAAGTCCTGCGCAGCATCATTCTGCACCACATGGCTCCAGACCTCCTGCTCTTCCTTCAATGCTGCATAGTCTTCCCGACATGTGTTTTGTGCCCACACTCGGTCAACTTATGCACCTTCAGTCTTTGCAAGTGTCACATGAAGTACAGGCCAGAACCAGGGAGCAGTCCAGATGTCCTGCGTGGGTACAGCTTCGACAACCAAGGCTTACTGCTAGCTGTTTCCACTTTCCGTGTTGCTTACAGAGGAAGTGCAGAGGAGGAGTCTGCTGACAGCACCGGCAGCTCAGATGATCAGGGGGTACACTAAACAATAACTGTTGAACGGGTATGGTGTGATGAATGGATTGATGATCGATTGATTGATCAGATGAAGTCTAAACTGGACATGTTTTACTTCAACACCTTCATCCATGTGTTTATATCAATGCAGCAAGAAACATAAAATTTATAAATCACCCTTTTGTTCCTTCATATTTTTAATCAGTCTCAAGCTGTGTGAATCACTGTAAATACTATATCCTGATGCTGCTCAATGATCCAGGTAGGAAAATCTAAAAAAGTTAAGTCTGGTCCTCTGGACATTCAAAAAGCAAAACAAACACACACAAAAAGTAAAAATGTTTCGTCTCTCATCCGAGAGACTTCCTCAGTCTGAGGTGCTGTTTTCAGCTCAGTCTCTTAAATAGCACCTTCTCAGAGTGGATCAACCAGTTTGCTGCTGACAACCATGTGTAAATGTGTGAACCATTTATTACTTCATTTTATGCTTATGTTTAATAAATGTTTTAATGTTAAATGGTTATTGTTGCACCGGGGTCTGAGAGAAATGTAATTTCAATCCTGTGTATGTCCTGTACATGTTGCAGTTTTTGACAATAAAAGTGACTTTTGACTTTGAGCAGCACCTCAGACTGAAGAAGCCTTTCGGATGAAAGACGAAACATTTCTACCTTCTTCTTTTTTGTTTGTTTTGTTTTTTTGAATGTCCAGAGGACCAGACTTAACTTTTTAGATGTAAATACTGTAAATAGTTATTCATGAAAAATACATAAATGTGCCAATTTATTTAATTTGAAATTACATAATTTGATAAAATATCTATAATCCACTATCAATTTATAGTGTACAGTTATAAAATGTTAACTTAAATAGTTACATGTTTTTTGTTTTTACTAGATATTGTAAATTGCACTTGTTTTCCTTGTAATTCAACTGAATCAATCCACAAATAAAAAAACAGTACAGTATGCTGCTCAAGTGTGTTTTAATTGAAGAATGTTTAAAATAATTCAAAACATTAACTATCTACCGGTAACTACGTAACACTAGAACAATTTACATACATGTGACAAGCTTGGGTATGGATGTTATTTTTATTTTATAAACTTACTGCAACACCACCTTAGGACTTTCACCCAAGGACATCATTTATACACAGAAAAGACACTTGGGTTTGTTTACAAGTAAACACTGTGGAACAGAACTACACGAGTCTCAACTGTCACCTTCAACCTGGAATATAAATATGAAATTAACAAAAATAAATATGAATAATACTTAAGAATTGCAAAACAAACAAACATGGGCCTCACATTCACATACAAAACTCCAAAAGCCAGTCAGTCTTCTCTCAGGTAAGACACTGACTGATTATGGTGACTCAAGCAGGCTGTGAGAGCGCAGTAAAGCATGGTAGGACAGATACGGTGGTTTTCTTGCCCCACAAGAACAACCAGGAACTGAACAAAAACAACAGCGCAGAGACTGAGCCATTTTCCTCACTGTCTAACACTATAGCCACAGGAAGTTGTGGCATTTTCTAACAATGTTGTCCAGAACAGCTAGCGCCATTGCAGCCACCCAAAATTCTGCAGGCAGCTGTTTGAACAGCTAAGTAGCAGCCGCGGGTCCTACGCGTCATTTCTTAATTCAAGATATCTAAAAGTGTCATTCTGACTAGTCATAATTACATTCGAGATATCTTGAATTGTAATTACGGATGTTTGACCCGTCAAATGACGAATCAGGTGACGTCATTTAAGATATCTTGAATTACATTTTGACTAGTCAAAATGCAATTCAAGATATCTTGAATTGTTATTCTGACTAGTCAGAATGTAATTCAAGATATCTTAAATTAGCATTCTGACTAGTCAAAATGTAATTGTGCCTAGTCAAAACTCAATTTAAGATATCTAGAATGTAACTACAGATAGTCAGACTACTCGATTTTATGTTAAAAGGGCTTGCCATAGTGCTCTGGTCCAGTGTCTTCATGGACGATGTGTGTAAGGGTGGACATGTTTGGAGGTTGCTGTGTTGAAGCTCCATGGATCAGCCTCTCTGCAGTTCTCAGCATCTTCACTGAGCTGCTCTTGTTCTTCACAGTTAGATGGTGGGAGCTCTCGTCAAATGATGATCTCCAGCATCATCTTGTTCATGCCAGGCTTTTCATCCACTGACCACAGACACCTGGAAACATCAGGGGGACCAGCAGCTGTTTAACACATCTGGAAGGAAACCAGGGAGATTTTAATATGATCATGACCATTATGATATGATGTTATGTGGGGGAGTGGTGGAGCAGAGGTTAGAAGATGGGCCTGTGATGGGAAAGTCACAGGTTCAACTCCTGGTACTGTCAACATCAAAATGTGGGTGGAAAAGGTGAAACACCCACACCTGCCTCCACCCTCATTGGCCCCACTCTGGTCCCCTGAGAAAGGCACTCAACCCCCACCATCTGCTCCTAAACAGGTCTCTCTAGAAAATGAGTTCTCGTGACTCAGTGAGACTACCTGGATAAATAAAGGGTCAATGAAAAAATAAAAGTTTAAAATAGAAATACTCACATCATTAGGCCAAGGTTGTGTGTGTGACGTGCACGTTCCTGAGGTTGTGTGTGTGACGTGCACGTTCCTGAGAGGCCACAGACAGAGCAGCTCCAGCTTTTGTTGAGTTCCTGTGGTCCTGCAGTTTTCAAGCTGAAATGAAAAAACATCATGAATATGAACTTTACAGTCTATAGTTACCTGTACATATAAACACATGGAGGTGTCTCACCTTGTGACTGACAATAAAATATGTACATTTATGAACTCTAATGAACTTATAATGATGCTCCTACTCTTTGAAGGTGAACCGATGGTACCACACCATCTCTCAGTCGGACAGTCTGATCAGTTTGATCAGAATCCTCCAGTTTAAAATCCTCACTGCTCAGATGAATCCTCCTCAAAGATACTTCCTCCTCTTCCTCACATCTTGTTCTTTGGGAAACCTTCAAAATGAAAACAGGAGATTTGTGTCTACACAAAAACATTGTACAGAGGAGGTCAATCTTATTTTCTATTTCCTATATTCTCCCTAGTTTAATTTTTTTTATTTCCTAGAACTTAAACAAAACTCCAGTTTTGATGCATATCTGTTGATAATGAACCAAAGCTACAGAAATTGTGAGTACGCTTGTTAGAAAAATATTCCTGTCATTAGATCTCTGTCAGCTTCATTACACTGAACATCACATCAGCTGGTGGACATAAATACAGTACAGTAATATTATATTCACAAAATACTAACAATAATATGTTCATCTTACTTGTGAAAAGTTATCCCCCGAGACCTGACGTCAGCAGTCCGTCGATTAGAACAGAAATAAGCTGCGAAGTGCTGAAACATCTTCTGCTTTAACCAAATAAGGACGACCGCTCCAAGATGGCGGCCGAAAATCCTGCGCGGCAGCAGCCAATGAGGCATCTAGTGTTTATATCTATGAGCGGAACTGCAGTGAATACGCAGCAGGACCTGGAGGCGACCATTAAAAAATCCCAAGAAGAAGAAAAAGTTTGTCACCTACTTCCTGTTTGGCGTCGCTGACTTTTTCAAAGTTCACTTCTCTCTCTCCGTTCTGAGGAGGCTGTCATGTTGCCAAAAGCAGCTCATTTTTCATTGTTTGTTTGGCCCTTGAATTCGAGGCTTGTTTGAAATGATTTTTAAGAGTTAGACCGCGTGTCTTCTTCACGGTTAACCCGACAGAAACCTTGTAGCGGGACTGGAGGCTCCTCGAACATGCCCGACATGAAGCCCGACGTTAAGATAGTTCTGCTGGGCGACATGAACGTGGGGAAGACGTCTCTGCTGCACAGATACATGGAGAGGAAGTTCAAAGACACGGTCAGCACCGTCGGAGGGGCCTTTTACCTCAAACAGTGGGGGCCTTACAACATCTCAGTCTGGGACACAGCAGGTAATTCCTTATTTTACATGTATGTTTCCTCTCTTTGAATAACTGTTTACCTGTGATGCCACCTGAGGCAATCAGCAGCACGTGACCCAGTAACAACAAACAAACTCCACGGTCCTTTTACAGCAACTGTGTAATCCATCACACTGAAGCTAAATCATAAAACAAGCCTTCCCAGACACAAACCATGGTTCATTTTATTGGTCTACTTTGTTTGGGATCAGTTGTGGGCATTATTTAACCTAAAATGTTGGTTTAAATAACCCCTTAATCTTAAACTTTGCGTTAAATACTTAAAAACTATAAGAATAAAACAGCATCAATATGGTCAAATGTCATAAATGTTAGTTAAGTCATGGATGTATGTTTGCAGCACCTATCTCATCATAAGAAAGAGCTCAAGTTGTAGTTTCACATCATTATAACTGGACATTTCTGGGTTCCAGTCTTTGCTGCTTAGCCACAAGTTTGTCAAAGATGTCTGAATTATCCAGATGCAAGAGAAAGGCAGACTTTGTAACCATGAAATTAGCTTTGAGTTTATAATTTGTTAAGAAGAGCTCTGTAAAGTTAACTTTTGACATGGGAATTTTTCACGTAAAAAAACCCCAACTAACCAACATGCGCTTACTCGCAGTTTAAAGCTTTGATGTTATAAATCACATTTTTTTTGTTGCTATTTTGGTAACATTGTCCATCAGTTGTGCTACAAATGTGAAGCCGTTCATTGTTTTGTGCACAATGCGTCATGAAATGAGTGTGTGCCTCATCATGTGCTGTATTGCTCAATATTGGGCTACAGTGACCCAATGAAAGCACTTTTCATGTGTGTGCTTCTGCAAAAATACTCATATTCTTGACTCTAAAGGAGTGGTTGTCATCTTGTCATCACTTCCTAATATCAAATCACAACTCAAAGTGAGGAAAACATTAATCTTTTCAAAGTTATTGAATAAAAGATGGCACTGATTAAACCTGATAGTAAAATAGAATGTCAACATTAAAAACTAAAACGAATAAACAAGGTTATTGTTAAACCAAAATGATCAGATAGTGGCAGTGCAAATCTTCGTTAGCGTAAAACCAAGCTCCACTTCGGTAACTTCAGCCCTTTTTAACAGACTCGACGCTTTCATGCAAAAACAAACATGATATAAAAAAAGTCAAACTGCTGAGAAGTACTTTCAAAAAGGCCTGAACTTGACATAATCAGAACAATGTTGTTTTTTCTTAACAGTTTTTGCACAGGATAAAGCTCACGGCCCACCAGAAGCAGGTCTGCGAGCCTTCAGTTGAGAATCGATGCCCTAAAAGTATATTTCATTGCTTTCCCTGCAGTAAAGCCTTCAAAGTAATTACCACTAAAATATTACATGGACCATTTTATCTGTTCCATTCCAGAAACTTAAATGACTTCACTCAGTCGAGAAAGTGCTATCAGATGAATTTTAATCTACTCTGGAGTACTTGTATCAAGCTCACGAGACGAAGTTGATATAAATGGTCTGCATTTACCTTTGACTATGTTGGTATGATGCTACAATGTGACGACTTTAAAATATATATTTTTTGTTTTAATTTTTATTAATCGGTTTAAAAATGAGTGACGGTGTGAGTCAGGAGTTGTTTTTTCTTCTAAATCTGGGAAATATTCAGCTGGGAAGCTAAAACAGCCCCACAGTTTTCATATTTTAAAAGTAAGATTTTGCAGTAAATTAGAAAAAAAATAACAAATTTAAACCACTCAAGTTCTTTAGGCTTTCTGAGGGTTTGTAACAAAAACAAAAACGAAATCCTATCCAGTTTCTGTTTGTGACCACGACCATATATTGTGCAATGTGTGCTTAAAATGAGCAAAATGGAGGATAAAAGAAGTGTCAGCCTAAAGTCTGTCTGCAGCAGATGAACAGTGTCTGAAAGTCGTGTCTTAAAATAAAAAATAAAAAAAACTTTTCAGCTAATTGGAATGATCTCGTCTTTTATGCCAGAATAAGAGCTCAATCTAACAAAAATGATCAAGCACAGGACTGAAATGAGTGAAAAAGCAGCCAAAGTCCAAAGAAAAACTTTTGACAGACCTTCATAAAGGTCGAATAAGATAATACTCCACTTTAAAAGATTACATGAAAGTCCGGTTCTATAAAAGCAACATCAAAACAGAACCGAGGGACGGCTCAGGACATCACAGTAGTTATCGTCAGGTTTTTCACAAATGTCACTTATAAATGTTTACAGATGATTATCTTAATTTACTTTTTGTTTATCAACCATCAACAGGTGCTGGTCATAAAATTAGAATATCATGAAAAGTTGATTTCAGTAATTCCATTCAAAAAGTGAAACTTGTATATTATATTCATTCATTACACACAGACTGATATATTTCATACATTTTATTTCTTTTAATGATGATGATTATAACTGACAACTAATGAAAACCCCAAATTCAGTCTCTCAGAAAATTAGAATATAATTTAAGACTAGGGGTGCACCGATTGCAGTCACCGATCACCATTTTCTAAAAAGTCTGACCTGCCGATTTCGTTTTTGGCCAATACCGATTTTGTTTTATAAGCGACACTGTCAGGTGTTATAAGGTCACAATACACCTTCAATTTTCCAATATTATTTTACTGAAAACATATACTTGAACAATATCCTCGAAACAATACAAACTTGTTTTAACTGGCCATGAGGTAGTGCTCTGAAATATAAATGAATTTTAGACAATTGTTGTTAAAACAAACAAACAAAAAGGTAAAATTGGTTTCTCATGCGAGTATCGGCCGATTTCTGATTTCCCAAAATTAAGGAAATCTGAGCCGATAAATCGACCGGCCGATTTATCGATGCACCCCTACTTAAGACCAATAAAAAAAGTATTTTTAGAAATGTTGGCCAACTGAAAAGTATGAACATGAAAAGTATGAGCATGTACAGCACTCAATACTTAGTTGGGCTCCATTAGCCTGGATTACTGCAGCAGTGAGGCGTGTGGCATGGAGTCGATCACTGCTCAGGAGTTATGAGAGCCCAGGTTGCTCTGCCCTTCAGCTCTTCTGAATTGTTGGGTCTGGTGTATCACATCTTCCTCTTCACAATACTCCACAGATTTTCTATGGGGTTATGGTCAGGTGAGTTTGCTGGTCAATTTAGAACAGGGATACCACGGTCCTTAAACCAGGTACTGGTAGCTTTGGCACTATGTGCAGGTGCCAAGTCCTGTTTGAAAATGAAATCTGCATCTCCATAAAGTTGGTCAGCAGCAGGAAGAATGAAGTGCTCAAAAACTTCCTGGTAGACGGCTGTGTTGACCTTGGACCTCAGAAAACACAGTGGACCAACACCAGCAGATGACATGGCCCCAAACCATCACTGACTGTGGAAACTTGAGACTGGACCTCAAGCAACGTGAATTCTGTGCCTCTCCTCTCTGCCTCCAGACTCTGGGACCTTGATTTCCAAAGGAAATGCAAAATTTACTGTAATCAGAGAACATAACTTTGGACCACTCAGCTGCAGTCCCAGACGAAACGCTTCTGACGCTATCTCTTGTTCAAGAGTGGCTTGACACAAAGAATGCGACAGCTGAATCCTATGTCATACATATTTCTGTGCATGGTGGTTCTTGAAGCACTGACTCCAGCTTCAGTCCACTCTTTGTGATTCTCCCCCACATTTTGGAATGGGTGTTGTGTCACAATCCTCTCCAGGGTGCAGTTATCGCTATTGCTTGTACACTTTGTTCAACCACATCGTTTCTTTCCCTTCATCTTTCTATTAATGTGCTTGGACACAGAGCTCTGAACAGCCAGCCTGTTTAGCAATGAACTTTTGTGTCTTGCCCTCCTTGTGCAAATTGTCAATGGTCGTCTTTTGGACAATTGTCAAGCAAGGCTTTAACAGACTACTCGAGTAATCAACACATCGATTCCTAGGACATCTATCGAGGTTTTAAATGTCACGTTGAGTATTCGTAGTGATGTCATTACGTCGCCGTTACGTCATTGTGTCACGCGTCACATGATCCGCACCGGCCCAGGCTACAAAATGGATTCCTCCAAGCAGATTGATGGAGCAAAGCAGGCTCAGTCTTGGCAAACGGGTAGAAATGCATTAATAGAATGAAATATTTCATTAAAGTTGAATCTTCCGGTTCAACTATCGTAAGGAAACAGAAAATGAATCAACTTCCTGACTGTTTGGAGCTCGTTGTGAACCGGTGTTGCACCATATTCTGTGAACACCGTATATTGTGACTGTAGGGGGCGGTGTTGCATGCACTATTGCAGGTCACAGAATATGGTGTAACACCGGGTCTTATCGACCGAACCAGAACCAGCTTCCTCTGATCTTGTTTCACCAACAAAAAGCAAAAAATATTAATCTCTAAACCTATAAAAAAAACTATAAACATATTAATCTCTAAAACTAAACCTAATGCGCATCACTGCGGTCAATGGTGCGAGGTGGTTGACCGACCCACTGTTTTTAGTCAAGTTTTTTACGTGCCGGACGTTTCTTTCACTATTGCAGCTTAATAATAACAACTAATAGTTTTGGTTTTCCTGAGACTTATGTGCAGTATAATAAATGGTAGGAGCATAATATACGCTCCCAATGTTTTGTTGGTCTTTTTTTTGTAAATAATAAATGACTTTATTTGCGGTTTTGTTTATTTAATTGTTTTTGCATTTTTAGATTCTATGACGTCATCAACTACTCGAGTTCTACTCAAGTTTTATTATGTTAATGTCGAGTTTAAAACATATGTAGTCGTTCAACCCCTACTGTCAAGTCAGCAGTCTCCCCCATGATTGTGTTGCTACAGAACTAGACTGAGACCATTTAAAGGCCTTCGCAGGTGTTTTGAGATAATTAGCTGATTAGAGCTGTGGCACCAGGTTCTTCAATATTGAACCTTTACACAATGTTCTAATTTTCAGAGATACTGAATTTGGGGTTTTCATTAGTTGTCAGTTGTAAACATCAACATTAAAAGAAGTAAACATTTGATATATCAGTCTGTGTGTAATGAATGAATATAATAAAGTTTCACTTTTTGAATGGAATTACTGAAATACATTAACTTTTTCATGATATTCTAATTTCATGACCAGCACCTGTATGTATATGAGTAGAAAGGCACCTTTATTTTTATATAGGTTTTGTATTTTCAAGTTTCATAGAGGTTATTTGAATTATGAATTAAATTCTAGGTTTATATTAAACTCGTGACATATGTGACAAATCTTTGTTTCAAAGTATGTTTTTGACAAGTAACTGGCAAAATAAAATGTCACAAGTGTAACATTTCTCATTTTCATTGATGCATATGTTGGTAATAACAGGTTTCTCTCTGCTTCCTGCAGTTTGGCAGATAAAACCATTCAGCGGTGGGTTTCTAAATGCTTGTTGAACCAACAAAAACTCCCCTGCTCAGTCATCTGGAACTTTTCTGTTATTTGACCAACAGTGATTGATAAACCCAACGGTCACATACGCTCTTTTAAATATGCATAACTGACCCTTTTCACTGGTTGTGACGGGAACAGTTCATGATGTATTAATCTCGAAACTTCTCTACATTCTTGCATTGTGTAAACATGAATTCCAGTAAACCCTCTTAGGCAAACACATTTCACAGGACTGGAACTGGCTGGCCACAGAGATAATGGAGCTTTGGCCGTGTCACCACTGAGCCACTTCCTGCTTGTGTCGCTTTACTCCATGACCTCTGTTTCCACTCGCCGTCACCAGCGTTCAGCCGGCCGGGGGGAGAATCATCAGATCTGAGTCACTTTAAAGCGTTCGACACCTGTCGACATAAACCGTAGAGCTCTGAAAGAGAGAGAAGTTGGATGCAACGAGAAATATTTCCTTCTGATTGTTTTTTTTACCCTTTCAGTTTCCATTTAAAGTCAATACCAGGTTTTTAATCTTCATCCCCAGTTCTTCTTAAAGATGATGACTAATAACGCCTGACTTTTCCCAAATTTACATGCAACAGTTTCCCATAAATGGTAGAAAGATTAAACTGGAATCTGTATATTGGTGGTGTAAAATGGGACAAAACTCCAGAAAAACATATACCAGTAAAGAAAGATCAGATGTCACTGTAGCAGGCGGTTTCATCTTTGCTACAAGAAGAGAAACTAAATGTCTTCTTTGTCGCAAACATACTTTATACGTTTAGAGGAAGACTACAAAGGTGCAACATTTGTGGAAATATTGTGTAAACAGTCAGACTGGGTGACGGGCATGAACTATACACTCGCCTGTTCTGAAACGTATATAAACCCAAATTTTAAATTCATTTTTTAAATATAAATTCAAATTTAACTCTTTTATAGTTATGTTGTGGGGGGAAAAAAAACGTATATAATACACAAGAATACTGGAAAAACAAGTGTATTTTGTATTTGGATTTATGCTCAGGTTAATTTAATTATCTGTCATTAATTAAATGGATTAAAGATTTATTCATATGTGTGTGTATATATATCTGGATGGATGGATGGATGGATGGAGGGAGGGAGGGATGGATGGATAGAAAAATTAAACGGCTGCTTTTTGTAGAATAACACAAAGTGTTAGTCTGACCTCTCTACGTTCATTCTTCCTCTTAAATGTCAGAACATTTAGTTTTTGCTGAAACCTTGTAAATCAAGCATTCTGAAACTAATTAGTGATGTTTCGACTTCACTGTGCTGTTGTATTGCACTTTATTAGTTTTACCAAAGTAAAACAAATCATTAAATTTAAATATGTGAAATTCCATCGCTGTGTCCAAACACACTGAGCTCTTTGAAGAATCTGCATAGTTCAAGCACAAAGAACGTTTGTGTTTCCAAACTGCTGACTGTCTGACACAAAGCCACTCTGCTGTGTCCTCCTACATTAATGTCCACTTCACAATCACTGTTCAGAAGAGCCTACGTACACACGGAGTACTGTGACGCTCACGCAGCCTCTTGTTCTTCGTAGGTTTCAGGTCAGGCTCGTTTTCAGAAACCGTTGACCTTTTTCAGTTTTTTTTCAGGCCGGGAACAGTTCCACGGTTTGGGCTCCATGTACTGCCGAGGTGCAGCCGCCGTCGTCCTCACCTACGACGTCACAAGTTGGCAGAGCCTTGGTGAGCTGGAGGAGCGCTTCCTGTCCCTGACGGACACTGCTAACCACGACTGCATCTACGCTTTAGTGGGCAACAAGGCGGATCTCACTGATCCTAAGGCCCAGCTGTTACAGAACTCTGACAAACCCGATCGAACCGACGGCGACGAAGATGGGACAGAGCCGCAGGTGTCTCCTTCCTGCACCACACCTACAGCCTCCCCCGCATTCCTCTCCGGCTCTGTGCTTCGTAAGCAGGTGACGCGCGAGGACGCCATGGCTCTTTACGGGAGGATCCTGCGTTACAAAGGTCTGGACGAGACGAGCGGACTTCCAGCAGACAAGATGTGCTTCGAGACGAGCGCCAAGACCGGCTTCAACGTGGACGCTCTGTTCGAGACGCTGTTCGAGCTGGTGCTGCCGTCCATCCTGAGGAAGAGGAACGAGGATAAGGTGTCTCCAACGGTGAATCTGGAAGAGTCTGGGGGTGTCGTCGGCAAGCGGGTCAAATCTCGCTGCTGTTAGGAACCAAAACAGGAGCCAGGAGGCGTCCACCTGCAGACTCTTTTTTTAATCAGTCCACATGTTGGTGTGAGCATCTGATTCAAACTGTGATGGTATAAATGTTTCGCCTTAACTGAGACTCATGAGAAAACACGCACACACATTCTTAATGCTGTGAAGATTGTCAGGAAGAGCAAATGTAGACAAAGAAATTTAGCATTTTGCTTTACGAGGAAGGAAAATCTGTAAAACCTTCCATATTAATGACTGAAACTGCGTCTGCGTGTTCCAAAGATGTTGGAAAGTAAAAAAAAAAAACTGATTTAAAGGAAATAAACAGACAATCACTGCTCTTTGTGAATGTTTCCTCGTAATTTCACTAATGTAACTGCACTAATCGTTAGCAGGGTGACACGTTCCACTGTTTTAATCACAAATCACTTTATTTTCACTTGTTTTTTATTAACTAGCATTGATCTTTATATTTTATTGACACTTTGAGCAAATGAGTGTAAAACAGCCTTGTTGGATTTTTTAAAAAAGTACTGTCATAATAAAGAGTATAATTTTGCAGTTGGCTTTTTTGTTGTTGTCACATTCAATCAAGAATAACATTTTAAAATATTGTTAGATAAAACGGTTGTGAGAAAATGATCATTTTAACACGATGAAGGCAAATTTTGATAAGAGTTCATGTTTTATTGGCATATTTTTAAACCGTTGTGTTCAGTTGATGTAGAATATTTAGCCTACTTTCTAATCTTTGTAAAATGCTGTAATCTGACCCAGGATCAGTGATATTGTGGGTTTACACTTTATCCTGTTGGGCTGTGTGTGTAACTTAAAAAAACATTGTAGCTTTGGTGATACAAGACATTTAAAGCTCCATTTCAGTTCCTGGAATAAACAAAATCAGTGCATCGTGGGAACGCATGGAAACTGATTACTGCGATGTGAAAACCAAGCTTTGTACATGCAGGACAATAAACCCCAGTGGCTAGCAGGCAGTGTTAGTGGCTTTATAATGAGCTGTAGAGCCTGAACCACCATAACGACTGGTGCGTTCACAGACCTGTGCATCTTTGGTTCAGCTGTAATTTATGGTTAACAATCATAGCTGAGGTAATAAGTTAAAAAGTAAGCACCAAAACATATTCAACATAAAACATAAACTTTTGTCACATAACTGAGTTGTTCTTATTACAGGACTTCTTTTTTTGTTTTATATACAGTGCATCCTGAAGGCATCACAAAGTCCTTGCAGAATTTAGAGAAATTTGATCTAAATTTTAAAAAAAATTCAAGTCTCAGAGGTTCTTCATGCAGACTTGGCAGCGGCTGATGTGTGCAAGGAGCTGGCCTGCTTTTAGTGTCTGTGATGTCGGCTGAGAGTGGAAATCCTGGCTCATGATGGTCAGCCAGAAGCTGTATTTGTTAGCAAAATAGTGGCATGTGCCTTTTGCTCCGTTGCACTCGATGAACGGCGCCGTGCGGAAGTCCTCCAGGCAGGAACCGGGTGACGACAGGGACTGACCGCCACCTTCGTTTCCTGCTGATGTGTGCTGCGAGGAACGAAGGGGAGAAGAGGCAAATCAGGTCAAATGTTCACAAGGATTGTTGAAACATCTGTACCAGGAGTCTGCAACATGCAGCTTTTTGGTTCATCCGCAGCAGCTCTTTCAAGCTTTGACCAAAACGGACATAAAACTGAATTTTATTGGTTGCAAACAACAAAAAAGGACTAGTTGTAGCTGTTTTCCCACCATTTCTTTAGCAAATAGGTGAATACTGGAACAAGTACAAGGAGTAAAACATACTCTTATTTTATGCTAAATTTCTATAATTAATTTTCCCACAATAAAATAATTACATAGGTCTGCATAGTTTAGTTTTTATTAATAAAAAAAAAACTATTTAACAAAAAGCTGGTCTTTTCTTTGTCTTAAATTGTAAAAATATAAATTCTTCTTTCGGCTGCTCCCTTCTTCAGGGGTCAGCGAACTAACTCGCACGAAGATTTGACAATTATTTTTACGCTGAATGTCCTTCCTGACGCAACCACAGACACCGAGCTACCACAGCCCTCTGTGTGGAGCAGAGAGCCGTCATCTAGGGCACCTGGGGGAGCAGATGGTGGGGGTTAAAAGCCTTGCTCAAGGGTCCAGAATGGGGCAAATGAGGGTGGAGACAGGGGTTTCACCTTTCCCACCCAAATTTTGATGTCTGTACGGGGAGTTGAACCGGCAACCTTTTGATCACAGGCCCACCTTCGCTAACTTCTTCACCACCACTTCCCTAAATTGTAAAAATATCAATAAATGTTAAAAATCATTGGATATTTTTAGCTTTATAATGTCACCCCTGCTGGCCACAAAATTCTCCTCCAACAAACATAAAGTGGCCCATGGGCCACCAGTTGATAATCACAGTTGACACATGTTGTTGCAGCTCCGAACAGTTAATTTAGTGAACGGAGGCGTAAAAAATGGCTCTTTGATTGTAAAGGTTGCAGACCCCTGATCTGTACAGAGATCAAAAAAGGACTTCATTTGACGAAAATGAGGAAACAACCTAACGTATTTTTCGGCCTATAAGTCACTTTATTTTGCATAATTTACATGCCCTGTGACTTATAGGCCGAAGTGACGTATTTATGGATTTTTTCCCATATTTATAAACCAATTTTTGGCTGAGATATGACCGTTTTCATTCATTCTGACTGAAATAAAAACATTGAACAGTACCACTTTCAGCCACTAGATGTCAGCAGAATAGTAGTAGCAGTAAGGCATGTCGTTGTATCATGTAAATACTGCTAAAATCCATCCATCCATCCATTTTCTTTACCCGCTTATTCCATTTTGGGTCACGGGGGTCGCTGGTGCCCATGTCCAGCAATCACTGTGCGAGGGGCGGGGGACACCCTGGACGGGTCGCAAGTCCATCACAGGGACACATAGAGACAAACGAGACAAACAAACATTCACTCTCTCACTCACACCTAGGGACAATTTAGAGTTACCAATCAGCCTAACATGCATGTTTTTGGTCTGTGGGAGGAAACCGGAGCACCCGGAGAAAACCCACGCATGCACGGAGAGAACATGCAAACTCCACCCAGAAAGGCCCCTGGACTGGGGTTTGAACCAAGGACCTGCTCGCTGAGAGGCAGCAGCTCTACCAGTTGCGCCACCGTGCTGCCCTATGGCTAAAATGACAAATTCAAAAAAATTCAAGACAAAAAGAACTGGACTTTATTTATTATACTTTACTTTATGCTTTATTGTTTTTGTCTTGAACATTTTTTAATTTACCATGCCCTGGATGACTGAGAATCTTCACCAGCTATTAATGACACAATCGGCTTGCCACAGTCTTCCACCTTCGTTCTGCCCGCTGCTTGGAGCAAGTCAAACCAGCTGCACTGCCCCGGCGAAATGCAGCTGATTTGACCATTAAAGTCTTTTATTAAGCAAACATTAGACTGAGACACACCTTTACTATAATTTCAAGCAAACAAATAATTGTTTTTAGGTGTTTATATTGTTAAATTGCGAAGAAATGCGGAGGCTCGTACGTCTGCGCGTGCCCGCCGCTTCTGTGAATTGGGTTTTAAAATACAACTTATTTGACCGTCAAAGTGCATTCATTAAGCAAAAGTTAAGCTGAAACACACCTTAACTATAATTTCAGCAAACAAATAATTGTTTTTAAGTGTTAATCTTGTTAAATTCTTGTTAAAGTCCTCCTGTGCACGCTCCTTCGGCTGCCATTTGGCAGCCAATCAATTTTTTGCACAACACTGGCCCCAACCACACGGTTGTCGGCGGTGACGCATAATAGATGTGACGTATACGGCGAAGCAACATATTTGTGGATTTGTCCACTTTTTTAAAGACATATTTGGACTGATGCGACTTATAGGGCGGTGCGACAGGTACGGCGGAAAATACTGTATTTTAAAACAGACTTGGCTGAAATAGAAAACTGCTGTGGCTGGATCAATCATTAGAGTTTTGGAAATCATAAATCTCATTGGCGCATTAGTGCAGGGTTACTTGCAAATCGTTGATAGTTACATCATTGTTGACTAAATGAAATAAATAAAAAATCTGAGAGGAAAAGCATTTACAACAGTTTTTCACCGTTTAGTTTTGTGCTTGATGGTAAATTATTCATTGTTCCATTTTAATGGCTCAATATACATTAACAAAATAATTGTGAGGGAAAAAAACTGAACTTAAATTATTTTAAAAGCTACAAATGAGCAAAAAATGCAAAAGGATTTCACTTCTAAGTAGTGAAATATGATTCGCTCGGCGTTGTTAAAAACTAGTTTGCACCTGAATAAATAAGACATGAACATGAAGCTTCAGTTTAATCCGTTTTCAGAGCAAAGGATATATTTACCTTCAAAGTAACTTTGCTAATACTTGCCTTTACTTTGAATTAGTTTGACAAATTCCAACTTATGTCTAATGACGTTCGATGACGTTTCACTTGTGGTTTTCTGAGGTTTGAAATTTCCACCTGAGAGCAGAACTCACCATGAGGAAGGAGTAACCGATCCACAGGCTGCGCCAGCCTGCAGGACACTGAGGGATGCTGCTGTCCTGACTGTGCACTGCAATCGCAACTGATGGAGCTTCACATACGGAGCAGCGGCTGATGTACGGTTTGATCTCTAATTCCTCCACAGGCATCATGGGAAGGGGAGCGGTGGTGGACAGCCAGTAGGACTTATCGTTTCTGCTGGCGTAGTAACAAACGTCTCCAGGGTTGCAGTACAGGAAGGGCATGGTGCTGAACCGTGGGAGGCAGGAGCCCGCCAAACCTGAAGAACGAAAGAAAAAACAGGCATTACCAATAAAAAACATTAAGCGTGGGGATTTTATTGTCTGAATGTTTATGAAGCATTCACGCTATTGTGATCCACTGTTCTTCCGTACTTTTTCTGCATTTTTCTCAATTTCAAGCTATTTCAATAATTCATAAATCAAAACGTTCAGCTCGTTCAGGAGAAGGGTGCTAGGAATTTTTATATTGGTGCAACTTTAGCTTTTTAAAATATTTAGCCTTTTCTGCCACTTTTTTAATCATAGAAAATGAATTGAGCTCATTTTACATCCTTCAAATCTTTAGATCTGTTTACAACCTTTTACTGCTCCTTTCACATTTTGCTCTGGTTCAGCTTCTTTCAGCTTCTGTATGCAAATTTAAACTTTTTTTCTGATAATTTCAGCTAATTTCAGCTGATTTTTCAGTTGTTTTGTGCTCCTTTTAGATTGTTTCAGCAAACTTCAACATCTTTGTGCTTCTTCTAACTTCTTTCTGTTAATTTCAGCTTGTTTCTGCAAGTTTCAGCTTTTTCTATTTCAGTTAGCTGTTTTTATACTAATTTTAGCTTTTTTTTGGCCTATTCCACACTTTTTGCACCCATTTCAACCTTTTTCAGCCTAATTCAGCAAAAATGTGCTCTCTTCACTTCCTTCTCGTAATGTAACCTTCTTTATGCCTTTATAGCTACTTTTCAGCTGTTTTTTTTTTGCCTATTTCAGCATTTTTCAGATAATTTCCACTTTTTTTCATTTCTGCTTCTTTCAGCGAGCACGTGCTCTTTCTGATTTCTTCTACTAATTTAAGTTTGTTCTTACCTTTTCAGCTACTTTTTTAAATGTTTTTTAAAAAATATATTTTTTTTTTGCAAATTTTAGTTGTTTACAGATAAATTCAAGTTTTTTCGTGGTAATTTCTGCTATTTTCAGTCTAATTAAATTCTTTCTGCTAATTTCAGCTTGTTGTACTCCTTTCAGCTTTTTCTGCTATTTCAGCTGCTATTTAGCTTTTTTGTGCAAAATGTAGCTTTTTCAGCTAATTCCACTTAAAAAAATGTTTTTAATTTTTTTTTTTTAGTTCATTTCAGCTCCTTCCACTTCCTTCTGGTAGCTTAAGCTTTCAGCCTTTTTGGCTACTTTTCAGATTTTTTTTTTCAAAATTCAGCTTTTTTAACCTATTTTACTATTTTTTTGTGCTCATTTCTGCTTATTTAAACCTAATTCAGCAAATATGCATTCTTTTTGCTTTCTTCTGCTAACTTGGGCTTGTTCTTTCATTTCAGCATGTTTTTTTTTATCTAATTTCAGCTGTTTTTCAGCAAGTTCTTCAGCAATAAGCATTCACACTGCATTTTCACAGGAAATGCATTTTCTCTAGTTAAAATAAGTTTAATTTCAGCCCCACAAAAAAATGTGGTTTTCAAAATCTTAAGAACGACTTCAGTGTTTTGTCTAATTTTAAGGATGTGTTTCGGCTTATCTTATGGTTTTTCTTCCCAGCCCGTCCCGTGAAGAGGTTGCTATTTTTGAAAAAAGCCCAACTTCTCAAGTCCGAACTATTTTCTAAGAAACCATTAAGTTAAATCTGGTGGGAATGACAGTCTTAGTCCCATTGTTTTTATCTTGCAGATAATTTTTGATTTCTATTAGATTAAAAACTCTGAAAGTTAACATTTGTTTTACAGTTTAGAATCATTTTTATTTAAAGATTCAACGGAGGAACGATGTGGTCTCAGAAAACGACTCTGTTGAGTACAAACCACCAGTTCAAATGGGGTTTCTTTGGACTTTCTTTGGCCCCTTTGTTCTATGATTTCCTTTAGCGTTTTGAAGTTCCTGTGGACTCACCAAGGTCCTGGTTGTGGGCCTTTTCCTGGCCCTCAAAGTACAGCAGGCTGTAGCCGTCCCACAGTTTAGACATTCCCACGGGGCACATGGGGGTCTCCACTGTCTGGCTGTGTTTCACCAACAAGTAGCCCACGCTGACACTGCGGCCCGGCATGCCAGGTAAACCAGGGATACCAGGGTTACCACGGTGACCTGTCAAGGACAGAGGAGTTTAGTGAATTAATCCACAAATAATACGTTCATTTAGACGACTGTAAAAGACAGAGCCAAAGATGAGCCACAAGCATGTCACCTAAAACTGTGTTTTTAATCTGCAGCTTTTTAATCTCCACCTAAAGACACATGCTGCATTTCAGAATTTTTGTTTGTCTCTGATGATTCTAAAAACAATAATGGTAAATCTTTAGTGGTTTTGTCAGTAAATCCAAACTTTCACCAAAAATACCAATCAAGCCTAGTTTTGACCAGTGTCCTGCTCTAAATCTTTTAATCCAAGAGATTTTTACGCTAGTCCCAAGATATCAAACATACCTTCCGTTCCTTGTAGACCAGGGTGACCCAACTGTCCAAGTTCTCCACGGAACCCAGGCATTCCTGGAGTTCCACTCACCCCAGGCATGCCCCTCTCCCCGATGGGTCCTATGAACCCTACACAGTCAACAGAAACATGATGTATTTATTTACAGATACATTTATGTACTGTGACTGAGCGCTGTCTCTGTGTTTAGACCTCAACTAAGTGTTTAACAATACACGTTCAATGATGAGTAACCTTGATTTCCAGGGGGTCCTTGTGGTCCTGGTTCCCCTCTATTTCCGTTTGGTCCATGAATGCCCTGCGGTCCTGGAGGGCCCCTCTCTCCTGGAACTTTGACAGGTACCGGAGCTGGACCCTGGCTGCCTGGTTGGCCAGGATAACCTGTGAAATGGATTTTTGTTTTTACAGTTCAGAAGAAAATTGACAACAGTGTGCTGGTGGAAACTAAAGGGAGAACTTGTGGCTCAGGTTGCATAATGAAAAAGAAAAGACACTTTGTCTTTTGTGTATCGGTGTGGGATTGGATAAATAATATGAGACAAAATACCCTAAAGTGGCTGCAGGAATGTTTGAGCTTTGCAGAAGCTACAGAAATACTTTTTTTTGGAAGAACTGAACATTTAATTACCAGTAACAGTCAATTTATTATGAGATGATGACTAACCTGGGAATCCTGTGCTTCCTTTGGGACCCACTGGTCCTCTTTCTCCCTTTGTGCCAATATGTCCAGGGAATCCCATGACCCCTTGGTCTCCTTTGCCCCCTTTAAAGAAAAAACATAAAAAAAAAAAAAATTATTATAATTTTTAACCAACCATTGAATCCAGTTTCCAATGATGTTGGTTCAAAATTCAAAATAAGTAATTCAAACGATATAGTTAACTCAACATCGAATTTTGTTCTGACTGCATAATTTGAGCATGTTGGACAAGAAAACTAAAAATAAAAATAATACACCAAACACACCTGTTGGAACATCAAACAAAATAAGGTCATTGCACAAGGGTTTTTTAATTTGATTTGACTATCTATGGAAAAATTGTAATAAAAATAATTAACAGTTTAATGAATACTCAGATATCTGCTGTCTCACACAACACTAATGTTAAACTCTGTCCTGGACTTCTGATTCAGATATTTCACAGGTAGCCCAGAAGTAACATAAACTAACTTTAGAGTTGTGTCCCTAAATGATTTAGTCCATACCTTTCCTCCCAGAGATACCGTGAGGGCCCTGGTACCCAGCTGGACCGAAATCTCCTCTGAATCCTTTAGTGCCAGGGAACCCAGGAAACCCTATTATTCCTGTTACACCCTTTTCTCCAGGGAAGGCATCTGGACCCGGCACTCCTCTGGCTCCAGGAGAACCTAACAAAAGGAATCAACCAGGACTCTTGGAAACATCTCAAATGAACAAGTATCCTTCTATAATGAACCAATATCCTCTAATAGTAAAAAAAAAAAAAAAAAAGAGACAAAATATCAAGTGCATTTTAGGTCACTATAAAAACACAAGTAATTTAAAAAAACAGTAAAAGGCACATATATAATGTTTGTTTGTGGATTAAAATAAAATTAATCAGATGACTTAATAGACTAATAAATAGATGCACACGTCTACATAAAAAACATGTTTTCAGATGCAACTTCTTTTTATTCTTGATGAATTTATTTTCTTATTCTGCATTCATTCTTCTGACTCCTTGTTAAAATCTCTATATCCTGTTCTTAAATGAAAAGGAATGCTTGATTTGTATCATTTGATTAATGCGAATGCAGCTGCAGGTTTGATTAGAAAACCTCAGTGATCACGTCTAACATCAACTCATTAATCCCTATAGGAAAAAATACATTAATTCACAAATAGTAGAGAATTAAATGGAGTATTAAAAAGTTGCCTTTTGAACATATTTTAAACATATATTATATTATTATTATTATTATTATATTATATTTTCAGGTCTCTCTTGTAAATGAGTCCTCGAGGCTCAATGGGATTTACCTGTCTAAATAAAGGTTGAATGAAAAAAAAAAAAAAAAACATATATTGCCGTATACATACTCACAATTATTAAAAGAAAAAACCCGCATATTTGTTGTATTATTATGTTATTCATATATTTATTGTATTTATTTCTTTACAAATGTGAAAGTTCGGATCTCTGAAGTGGATTTTGGTGAAAAGGTTTTGAACAATTAATATCTTACCTGTTCTAGATAGCCCCTTTATCAATCTCAGTTAGGAGAAAAAAAGTATGAGTTCTTTTAAGATCCACTTTGGTCTTGGCCCCACTTAGACTAGATGTTGGCTCATTAATCCAGTCAAAACTAGAGAAAATGCATTTCCTGAGAAAACGTAGTGTGAATTATTGCTAAATGATTTTTGCTAAAAGATTTTTGCTAAAAGTTGCTGAAGACATTGAAACCAGGTTGAAAAGGATTCATTGCTAAACTGTTAATGCAATTTGAATTTGAAGGGCTGACAGTTGCTGAAAACAGGAAATCAAAAGTGTAAAGTGGTAGAAAAATTGCAGAAATGAGTAGAATAAGCTGAAATAGACAGATTACAAAAAATCTGAAATAGGAAAAAAGACACTGAAATGAGCAGGAAAAAAGCTGAAATTAGCAGAAAGGGGCTGAAAGGAGCATAAAAAGTTCAAATTATTAGAATGAAGCACAAAAGGTCAAATTTAGCAATAACGAAGAAACTGCAGAAAAAAATGCTAAGATTAGCAGAAAGAAGTTGAAGGGAGCAGGAAAAAACAAACTAAAAGCAGCTGAAGGAAAATGAAACTAGCGCAAAGAAGCAGAAAAAGGCTGAACCAGAACAAAAGCTGAAACTAGTCATAAAAAGTTTTAAACAGGGTTTGAAGCTCCATTCATTTTCAATGAGAAAAACATGGCTGAAAAAGTTTGATATTTCAAAAAGTTAAAACTGTACAAAAACCAAAAGTCATAGCAGGAGTGTCGCGAACGAGCTGAACGTTTTAAAATATGAATTGTTGAAACAGCACAAAATTTTCCGAACAAGTTACGCACCAAAAAAAATACGAGAAACGAATCTGAATTGTGTGTGAATGCTCTATAAGCATAAACTTTACTTCTCCAATCTGAGGTCTTGCTATAAGAACTGTCGACAACAGGTAAGGTTAAATTTCTCTCATAATTTCCATGAAACTCCAT